AAGGAAGGAAGGAAGGAAGGAAGGAAGGAAGGAAGGAGAAAGAGAGAGAGAGAGAGAGGGAAGGAGGGAGGGAGGGAGGGAAGGCAGGAAGGCAGGAAATAAAAATGCAGTGTTTTTCTTTGTACCTGTAAAATAACTATGGGACTCACGAGATTTTCCATGATGTTTCTTCCATTCTCTTCAATTCTCAATTCGCTCCTTAACCATAATCTCTGCAAGGAAACATTTGTTTTTCCTTCTGCAATCCATAGACTCATTCTGGCAGGGAATGGAGCCTACCACGCAAGCGGGTGACTCAGTTAACTATCAAACTGAGAAGAGGGAGGCAGTGACACTCATCTCCTTCTAGTAAAGATTTATTCTCCGTAAAGCGGGGATGGGGGGCAGCAACCACCACAGATCCCTCCTGCCAGATTCAGGGAGATTGAAACAAGAGGAGAAAAGCGGAGGGATCCAGAGAGGAGTCAATCCATCTCATTTCTCCCTTCACGCGTGTTTGCAGATGCATTGCTCAATTACAGTTGCATAACAGCTGTAATAGGCTTATGTTATGCTACGCCAGCATCCTTGATAGATCATTTTCCTGTTCTTTTTGTAACCAGGATAGCACTATGAAAAGAGCCAATTGCCCCAGAGACCACTGGATTCTTAATCATACCCTTTCCGTTGGAAGCCAAAGTTCTGCAAGGAAAACATACCTATTTATTTAATCATCGCATTCCTAAACCGCCTTTGAGCCAATCTTATTCCAGAGCAAGGCAGAAAAGATATGGACAGGATTACTCACCCAGAATAATAATACTGTAATAGTTAAAAAAAAAATCTTCATAGCAGATTAACAAACTGGAGTGTTGCAAAGCCAGACAAATTACAACAGAGGTAAGAGGTGAAAGATTTCTCAGAATGACTAACCTTAGTCCAACGCTAGCCCAGGATGCTTGGGAGAAAGCCATACAGGCTACATTTCCAATTATATTTTAGGAAAACTACTTTTCCCCTGAATCTTTGGGGATATCAAGCCGCACTGTAGCATTTAGCCCATCTTGGCTGACTTCAGAGAAATTGAGCAGGTTTGGACCAGATTAGTATTTGTGGGTCCTTGGTGCTCTCTGAGCTTGGTTGCTTGCTTACAGGTGTTTCATTACCCAACTAGGTGACATCATCAGTGCGAGGGAGTGTGAGGTTTGCTGCCTGTGCCTACCCCACACTCACGCACACTGATGATATTACTTAGTTGGGTCATGAAACGTCTGCCAGCCAACCACCAAGCTCAGAGAGCCCCAAGGACTCCCCAGTTCAACCCTGAGCTACAGATAGTCTCTTCTGTTGGAGTAGAGCTATTTAGCTATGCTAAATTCCGTCATTACTGTGGAGTCCTTGGGGCTCTCTAAGCTTGATGGTTTGCTTGCAGACATTTCATGACCCACCTAGGCAAAATCAGCCATCAATAGACACATAACCACATTTGCACCCCCTTCAAAAAGCCATCCACCAACATCTGCCAGCCAACCACCAAGCTCAGAGAGCCCCAAGGACTCCCCAGTTCAACCCTGCACTACAGATAGTCCCTTCTATTGGAGATAAATATTTGGATAGGGCCACTGGCTAAGTTACCAAAAAGCATTCTAGAATAAGGCAAGTCATTTCTATATTGTTGCTGAGAAATCTATATGAAGAGAGACTTTATTTTTATCTTAGGACTGATCTCCTCTTGCAGGAAACTCTATTTCTCAAGATGCTTTGAGGAAAGCTAGGACACTTCGATCAGTTTAAGAATACACTGTAGATTTATGCAGGATCACCATCTCAAAGGTTAGAGTTCTGAAGTGGTAGAACCACAACTTCCTCCTCTTCATTTTCTGTTCTTTCCTCCAATTAAATACTATATATTAGTGGTAGTGTTGGACTGTTGGAGGTTTGAAAATATCTTTGTTTTTCTCAAAACACACTGATCTGATTGACTCATTGATTGATTGACTGGATTTCTATATAGCCTGAATCAACTAGGACACGAAGCAATGTACTACATCCCAACTTTTTTTTTTTTTTTTTACTAAAGGGAAGTAAAGTCCACTTCCTTATGACCCAAAAGGAAGCTCTTTACTCTTCTTTGTTTTTCACTCTCATTTCTTTCCTGGGTAAAATTCTCCTACTGCACTTTCCTTCTTTTCCAGAGTAGACGCAACAGCCACTCTCCTGTGCCTTTTCCATCCCCAGGTGTCTGCCCACCAGCGTGCATCATTTCTGGTAAGGAGACTTTGCAGTCAATCTAAAGGGGACAAGGGATTATTATGAGATATGGAAACATTCTTGGATGCCAGCTCATGAGACCATTGACAGGAAAGAGCAATTTCCTGTGATCAAAAAGCTTAAAGAGCCACTGTGGTGTAGTGGTGAAGATGCTGGACCAGGAATGGGCAGATCCAAGTTCAAGTCCCCACTCAACCATGGACATTCAGTGGGTGTCTTTGGGGCGGATATTCTTTCCTGGCCCAACCTACCTTCCAGGATTGTTGTGGGCAAAAAGTTTGGGATTCTGTAGATTGCATAACTGGAGGCCCTTTTCTAAAGGTTTTCCTGCAGCCCAGTCTGTCTTCAGCTGCTGTCAACTGGTGCTGAATACCTTAATATTAAGAATGGAAGAACTGTGGGAGAGAGGGGATGAAAAAAAAAAAAAGAAAACTGTTGATGAGGTTTAAGGGTAAAATGTTTTTTTACTTTGGACACACGCATTTTCTGGGTCTAGTCATCCTTTGTTTCCAATAGTTTTCCAAAGTTCTATTGATGGTACCCAGTGGAGGAAAAGTTGGCTGGCCATTCTTTCTTTCCTTACAGCTCCTGCTTGTCCTTCAAACCAGGGATCATCTTCAGCCCCCAGGCCTAAAGTACCCCTGGACCCTCACGTTCGTCTCAAGGATGGCAAACTTGAATTGGTGAGCCCAACCCAACAGGCCATTCCAGACAAATCAGAGGATTGGATCTAGAATGAGGTCACACCTGATGTAGGCTCCTTGGTCATAACTAACTTAAACTGCATTGAATTCAAGGTCTGGGTTTTTATATCCTGGGAGACCAAGCTAAAATGGGATTGTGTAACGTGTTAGGGCAGCCCTGTCATTTTCTAAGCACATTGTATGCACCTGAAATAATTATTTGGATTATATTTTAATGGATTAATTCCATGGCTTTGAATGAAAAATAACCAGGGCATATGCAGATTCCAAATAATGAATCTTTGGAGACCTCCTCCCATTGCTTTTTCCAAAAGGCCCTGCAATAGGGTTGGGCCCACTGTTAAGAAGGTCTTCCATTTCTGATCAGGCTTCATGCAGAGCTGATTTCTCAAGAAGGTATTTGCTTTCCATCTTAAGGATGACTTTGGATGTAGGAGAACAGCCTTACCTAACCTGAGTGCCCTCCAGTGGTGTAGATTTCAACTCTTCAAATTCCCCAGAGTTCATGTCCATAGCTGAAAAGCCTGGGATCTGCAACCTTCTGGAGGCCGTCTAGAATGTGGATGGACATACTAGGAGAGTGAAACCACATTTCTAAATAGCTCTCAACATTTCTTCCATGTTTTCTCCCCACCTTTTTGATGGTTTGGGGTCATTCTTCTCATTGCCTGCTTTTTTGGCTTCAAGGTGCTACAGTATTTAAACCTAAATGTGAGCGAAGAGAAGAAAAGGCAGTTACGACAGAGATTGGCAACTGACTCCCAGGGCACCGTGGCCTATGGAGGTAAGAAACAAATGTAAGGGAGGGTAGAGGTACTTTCAGACTTGCAAGATTCTGTTAATGTAACCTTATAATAAAGATAGAGCTAGTATTCACTGTTGTGCTTCTTGTCTGGACTACCTCGAAGGGCTAATATCAATCTTGCAAGTCTGAAAGTACCCCTCCCATCCTTCACCTTTACTCTCCTGAAAACTAGGAGTGTCCCTTCTGAGAGGCTTTCTCCACCCCCATGCCTCCTTTGGACTCAGATTTCATTTATCAGACCATTATCTAGGCTGTGGCTCTTCCTCCTGTCTCCCAAGGTCATTCCCACATACCATTACAGAAAGAAGGTGCTGTCAGCCCCAGTAGGTAGACCAGTACAGGAAATCAACTCCATAGTAAGTCTGATTGTGCCCCATCTCCTCCCCCTTCATATACCCCAGTGAATGAGGGAGGTGTCTGCCTGAGCCTCTTCCAAAAATGCTTCATCCCCCTTTGCCTAGGTAACAGCTGTTGCATATTTCCATCAAGGTCCTCTTCCTTACTCTCTATGGGTATTGCACGGAGGCCCTTTTGCCATCTCTCTCTAGACCTTCTGCTCTTTGCCTGTGTTTTATTAGTGGATTTATTTTTACCTTTCTTGCAGCCTTCCTTACATGAACCCCATAGATCTAATGGGCTTTGACTCCCTTAATCCCCAGCTAGAGTAAGTAATAGCTGTGCCAGATGGTTGGGGTACAGCTAGGAGAGTGGGAAAGCTGAATGCTGTGTTGGGAAAGGCTAGCTGGTTGAAAACCATTTCAGGACAGATTTCTGTAATTAGAAAGGTGGATACAATTTGTGGTGGACACAATCCAGGTTTCTGGGCTAGCTTTAGGAAGCAAAAAGAGAGAGAGAGAGAGAGAGTCCCTTCCAGATCTGCTTTGCTCAGCATTGACTGAGAAGTAGAGAAATGCTTCCCTCTAATGGCTACTTGGGGAGATAATTGTCCTAAATACAGCATTTTTATGAGCAGAGGGATGATAATGTTTCCAAACTTTCTGCTGTGTTAAGGCCATGTCACCGATCTTTCTGGTTTGCCTGTGTCCCTCCTTTCTTCCTGAACCCAGACTTCCTCCAAGTTCTCAGGGACTTGTTGCCAGAAGACGACCCAGGTCACCATTCAAATTCTGCACTTTTCACTCCGCATGAAGTGGCTACTTTGCTGGACACATCTGCTTTCCATTCTCCGGTCAGTGTTGAATTGCCCAAAGCTTTTTGCACCTTTTCCTGTTTACTTTGTAATGATGGGGATCTAGGAGGATCCCATATTTAGTCCAAAGGTAGACTAACATGAATTCAGTTCAGCTGAAATCAGTCCCTGGGTATCTGACTGGGTGGAGCACTTAGGGGTGTGTGTATGCACACACACACATATGTATACAGTTATATGTATGATATGTGTATATATGCATATGTGTATGCATTCATGATACCCTCTTACATACAATATCACCTGCCAGAAGCCACACTCCAAAAAGAGTTGAGTCAGGAAAAAGAATAAATGAATATAAATTAAGTTAATAAAGACTGATGAAGCTTAATTTGCAGGAAAAGAAGTCATCCCATGCATAAAATCAATTGCATATGCCAATCATTTTCTATGACCCACAGAAACTACACTCTCCCACAGTAACCACACAGATACATACAGACACCTTCCTTTTTGCCTTTCCAGCAGAAGCAACAAAAATAAAAATGATGTAGTAACCCAACAGGGTAAGAATGAGAAAGGGTACAGCAAAACTGGGTGGAAGTAAGGCAGGGAGAAGAAGCAACTAAATGCAGAAGGAAATAAAAGAGTTAAGCCCTGTCTAGGTATTACAGAAAGGGTTAAACTTCACCAGGTAAGCAGCTTTTCCCAACTAATATTCAAGGGGAGCCAAGCTTTTCTGTAGTGAAATCTTCAGCTGTTTAGGCCTCTTCCCCGTTCTCTTGTTTTCAGTCTATTCTTCTCAGTGAATGTAAGATAACTGGTCAACTATGAAATGGCCATGGAAGCATTGTAGCTAAGTGTAATCATAGCTGTATATACTGTAAATCACCTGGGATGTCTTAGATTGAGTTTGCAATCAAGGTGGAATTTTTATAAAATACAAGTTCTTTCCCTGAATGAAGCAGACGTCAGAGTGAGGGAAAGAGGTCCAACAGAAAAAGACAATACCCAGGAGTTCCCTGTCCCGTCTATGTAAACTCATATCAACACCCAAGAGAAATTGGAAAGAAATTCTCAAGCACCCTGAAGATGAGGTAGAAAAACAAACGCCTCTTTCACAGGGAAAGGAAACTTTTGCGAAATGGCAATACAAGATTTGAACACTGCTTTAGGGTGATGGGGAAACCACCCACTTTGTAAATGTAGGAGGGTGGATTTGTTCTAGCAAAATTACTCTTGGAAATGATTGATATTACTTGGCTGGAGGTAGTGAGGCTGGGGTTTATAAAGCCATTAGCTGTACACAAAGCCACCATTGCCACTTTGAAAGCAGAGAATTCATATCAGCACATCTCTCTCTCATAATTTCAGGGTCTAGTTGGCTTAGTGCTTAACCATGTGATCATGATTTATGTTTGTACAGCCACTGTGGTTGATCAATGCTCTGAGCATACCAAAATAGATTTATGAATCTCATAGATAAGTACGGTTCACTCACCAGCATTCTTGGCTGGACCAACTTCTCTTTACAGATGTCTGACTCTCTCAGTTGCAATGAGAATGAGAAGCTGGACCACCTACAGCTGGAAATGGTGGTGTTACAGCAGGAAGTCCACAGGTTAAAGGTAAGGCTCTCAAACAGAAGGGTCAATGTCATGAATGTTGATGATGTTCCTTGGCCAATGTTGCATAAAATAACACATGGCGATTTGGCCCTTGCAGACAGATGGATGGATATCTGTATTATGACCGAAAGCAGCAGCGTAAAAGGTCCAACAAAAGCGTAAAAAGTTGAAATAATAATTGGGTATATTAAAAAAAAACAAGATGTAATTAAGGCAACTGAGGATTGTACACAATGAAAGGGAGAGAACTGGATTTTATTGCCAGATCCTTGTTATCTGCTAGATGTGCTGTCATGTAAATTTAACTATGTACCGTATATAACTGAAAGTAGGAAAAGAGCCATGTTGGTCTATGGTTGCTATAATCAGGAGTCTGGTCACACCTTTTCTGACTAACAATTTATTAAAAGGCATAAGATCAGAAATTCATTCTCAGTCCTGCAAGGTAGACCAACTTAAGAAATCAGTGCCATATAGGTCAGGACTCCTTTGATTGTAAACAGCTCTAGGAACAGAATCTTGCAAGTTTGAATGTGCTTCCCCCTCCCTCTACTTCCATGTGAACTATGGAGGGGCTTATCTGAGATGTTTTCTCAAGTTACTTTCTTGGCCCGGGCTCAAGCACCTCTTATCTGACCGTTGCCTTGGTAGCGGCTCTTCCTCCTGTCCTTCAAGGCCATTCTTCTATCTTCTACATTAATTCAGATGACCTGGGAATTTATTTAAAAGGGTAGAATAAGCTTTCTATATAGTGCACTACTGAGGTCAGAATACAGCAAGGCACGACCCACTGTTTCAATTGTCTGAAGGTTGTGTTCAGTTGTGTTCTTCATCGAGGATGTTAATAAACCTGCATTCCCACAGAGCAGATTGGAGGCTGGGAAAACAGCCTGAAAAAGAACTCTGTGAGGGTTGGGCAGTTCCAAGGTGGGATGGTTGATAGGAGCAGCCCAGAACCAATTTTGCAAACTTGTCTCCTGTTTGTGGGAACCACAATCCTCAGGGGATTCTTGGCACCACCAGAAACCTATCTGTACCTCAGTAAGAAAGAGTGAGTCCATCAGTTTTGCATTTCTCCTTTTCCTGAGCAAAACCTCATGTTGCTCCATTTCTACATCAGTTTACGAGCCTCTGTGCTGTGTACACAGTTTCATCCATGGCTCTCTTCACAGATACGTTTTTCTATTTGCTTTTCTTAGTTTCTGCAAGGCAAGCACTTCCCCCCAGATGAACATTTCTGGGCGAACCTGCCCTGATACACCTGTTCACATTTATGTGCATTGTGTTGCAAAGCATCTGGCAAACTCTGAAAAGGGCAGATGTCAACCCACCAGTGTATATTTTGACCCCCACACCCCCAAAAAATAGATTTGAGGGAAGTGAGTGGAACAGATTTGTGAAAAATTTGCACTGGAAAGTATTTCCCATTTATTCTTACTTCTTGGATCTTCCATCTTTCTTATTTTTCACATGTCTTTAAGGTACAGAAAAGTTTCTATATGGTAATATTAAGTCTATATAGGTGTCAATAAATTCAATAAGCAGTGTCTACTGTGAGTTTTTGTTGCTGTTACTGCTGTAGCAGTCATTGTGGTTGTTGTTTTATCCTTTTTAAAGAGCCAGTGTAGGGTGTGAGATTTAAATTGGAGAGACTCAGAATAAGTCAATAAGTCATTTTCAAAAAATGAGATCATGATATATGGATTTGATTATTAGAAATAATAGTAGACAACAGAAAAAATGAAAGTTATGTTGTAAACTTAGAGTAAGAGCTTGAAGCAACTTTATACGTATATCTGTTATAAAAGAAAGTTGGAAGCCATGTTTCTTTTGTATTTTTTTCTTTCTTTTTCTTTCTGCGCTTTTGATCTTGTTTTCTTTTTCATTCTTTACCTTTTTCTCTTTTCTGCTTTCTATCTTAATTATTAATTCTTGTTAGTTGTTATCTCTTTATTTTAAAAATCTAATAAAGTTATTTTTTTAAAAAGTCAACTAGATTACTACTAGTAGTAGTAGTTACATCTACTTGGAAGTGGCAGGGATCTTTTGTCAAGACAGGGATGAGCAGAAGATCATGATAATTTGCCTTCAGTTCAGGCCTATGGTCTAGGCTTCCTGACTGGTTTTTCCTAATGGGTGGGCATAAATCTCTTGG